ATGTTTATTTGTGAATTATTAAAATTTTATAATTTAAATTATTTTAATTACAGTGCTATATAATATAATTCAGTATTATATATATAGTATTATCATGTTTGACATATTTTAAATTAATATTAATTTGTATAGTTTTATATAATTTTATTTTATTTATTCATGAAGTACCTACAACCTAATTAAATATGCTTTAAAAAAACAATTTATATGATGAATTATAAGCAAAGTTTAAGTGACATAAATTCAAATGTATCTTTGCGGAGAGAGGATCAAGTAATTACTAAACAACATATTATTTAAAGAAAGCGCACATTGTAAAACAAATATTATTTTCTGTGCTCAAAATCTAAAAGGTTAATGAGGATCTATCTCCCATATTTTCCCTGGGTTGGCCCCTTAGGGGGCAGCAATTTTTTTTGTACTGGGGTGCAAAATGTCTAAATGCGGCACTGGGACCACGTGACTATTCTTAAACCAGCAATTTTGAAAAGTAACATGTAAATACTCAAAAGAAAAATTGTGAAAATTGCAATGTCGTTGTGGGGTCCGGACATGTACGTCATATTGTTACTTCGCCTTTCCAAGGCTAAGCTGTATAACACCATGTATAAGTATGACGCATTTTCCTAACGTGATACCTAAACTTACTATATTGCACTGCTCTCCGATAGTAGGTAGTATTAGATATAATTTATTACTTTTCGCAAGTGGCCGCTATAAGCTGCGAGGCCACATTCGTATTTTTGGCACTCCCTGGAGAAATTGTTTTTTTTTCAACACTATCTCAACGGTTGTTATTACTACAAGTCACATGCCAATCAAATATCAATAATTATAATTAACAGTGAATCACTAAAAACTACTTATTAACAAAATTGTAATAATTACAATAGTAAATATACGTTTCAAAATTACCGATTTAAATAAATAATGGTTTACGGGAATTATCTACATAAAAGCTGCGCCTGATCATGGTTTCTATATATTACCTAAACAATTATTAACTCGTATGAGGAGTGGAATTTTTCTTAATAATTTAATTTTTGCAGCAGTCCATATTCTGACTTTGGTGTTTCATATGATAAAAATCATATAATTTCTACTCTTTAAGCTTGCATATTTTTTTCCATAACATTGCAATGATTTTGAGAAAATACTATTGTATCATTCAATAATGGGCTCGTATTGCACTTTGATTTTTTTTTTAAATGAAAATACTCCACTTTTAATTTGTCCGTCAAAAAGTTAAATAAAATTTAAAGATTTATCGACGTTGTTGATACACTATCCAGATAAATTATTTTATTTAATTAATTTGCAGTTTATTCATGATTATTTTCTGAAAATTAAATTTCAATATCTAAATGTTTAAAAATACACAATTTTAATATTTTCTATGGTGTAAAATTCAAGGTCAAATTAGTATAATTGTGCTTATTATATGTTTGGAAAAATGCTCAGAACATAATGGCTTGGAAATGTATTTGAATCAAAAAAAAAGAAAATAGGTCATTAATTTCGTAATAATAATATTATTATATTCATTAAAACTTAATGCGTTCACAACATAAATCAAAATACGTACCTTAAAATCTGTTCATTAAATTATTATGATACAATCTATTAGATTTTGATTATTTTAATATTAACTACATAATCCACTATCCAGTATTGCTGCTTTATTTTCGAGCACATCATTTTTAGATCATTGATATTTTAATATAATATCTTAAGGTGGTAGTAACTATAAAACGTTGTGAATCCCTAGTATACCTACATACGGTGTATCGGTTACAGATTAATACCAAATGGCGATTTTAATGTTAATAATTAGACAAGACACTTGGCAAGTACAACCGAGTACAGTTTAATGAATATATAAAAAAACGTCAGTATAATATATTTTACTTTACCGATGACTTATGGTAGCAATATACACACGGAGCAAACGATGAAACGAGACCACTTCTGCTCATGAAAAGCTGCCGGAGTAACTTCTCCAAATTTTCCCCTCTAATACGTCCGATGTGGTTGTCCTATGATCAATGTTTCGTACCGAGTTTCCCCATAATGGATATTAAGATTATAATAGACCTTCATTGGTTCATATAACAATTCATTATGGTTAAGTCAACTTTCCCGTTATTATTTGTACACATTATTTACACTTTTAAAAAAGAAGCCACTTGTCACCAATATTCACTTGTACCTATTAAATATCATATTTTATCTATGTTTAAACAAAAAGTAAGTAATAAACATAATATGGTGTATTATAATATAATACACTAGCAGACCCGGCGAACTCCGTTTCGCCACCAGATTCGTTTTATATATAATAATATATTTTGTTTGGTGATTAAAATATAAAGAAAAAAAATTTTTTTTGTTATATATTTGAAAAGGAAAATATTTATTTCATTTCACAACAGTAATAAATTCATTTCAATTACCTACTAAAATGAAGTGTTATTTAATTGTTTCATTGTAGTGCTCTTTGGTAAACCACATTTTTTGTTTTTTGGTTTGACGTTAACACAAACAAAGCGGATGGTTTCCCAACTCGTGAACACGCAACGTATAACTGTCCATGTGAAAAACAATGATTTTCCAAATTTATCCCGCAAACACTAAGCGATTGGCCTTGCGACTTATTAATTGTCATTGCGAACGCAAGGCGAACTGGGAATTGCAATCGTTTGAAGTCAAACGGAAGATCAGTCGGAATCATTGGTATTCGAGGAATACATACATTTTCACCTGCGTACTTTCCGTTAATAATGGTTGCCTCAATTAAATTCGGCATAAGTCTCTTTACCGAAAGTCGAGTACCGTTGCAAAGTCGCGGTGGATTCAAATTACGCAGTATCAAAATAACTGTACCAACTTTCAGTTGCAAGTTATGTGGTGGAAATCCTGGTATCTCCAGAGAGTTCAAAAACTCCGTTGGATAATTTACTACATCATCGGGATTTGTTATTGAATCAACGGATTTGTATGTCACCAAATCGCCAGCAATTTTTGATTGAATGGTGAAATTCAGTGCGTGGACATCATTATTCTTTGCTGCAAGAATTGCTCGTTGACTTAACCAAGCATAATTCTTATAATTCTCACTAATGTTTGGGAAAACATTTTCAATAAGAACTAATTGAGTGTCTACAAATCGGCAAAAGTCGTTGGTAAGAGTAATTAATCCAGATGTCGCATCAACTGGGACTTTTCCATTTCCAAGATCTAACAATTGTTTGGAAAATTGTGCAGCACTTTGATCATTTTGAAGTTGAACTCTCATATTAGTGGTTAGCGATAATGTTTTTACGTTATTCCATAAAGGTGATGCCTTTAGGCAAGCATTCAATTCATCTGCAGGCGTTCCACGGGGAACTACTGGCAACGTCTGCCTGAAATCGCCTGCCAACAATATCATCAAGCCGCCAAAGATGTTGTTATTTCTCCGAAGATCCTTCAGTGTGAAGTTAAGTGCTTCAAGTGATTTCTTATGTGCCATTGTGCACTCATCCCAAACAATGAGCTTGCATTGCATTAACAATTTTCCCATTGCACTGGATCGGGAAATATTGCACGTTGGAGTATCAATTGTGTTTAAATTGAGTGGCAACTTAAGCGCAGAATGTGCAGTACGACCGCCATCTAGAAGAGTCGCCGCAATTCCAGATGATGCTAACGCCAAAGCTATGTCACATCTTGATCGAATAGTGGCCAAAATCAATGAAATGACAAATGTTTTCCCTGTTCCTCCAGGTGCATCCAGGAAGAATAGACCACCAGTATTATTGTCCACCGCTTGCATTAATGTTTTGTATACTTGTTTTTGCTGTTCATTCAGCAACGGAACATTATTTCTAACGAATTCCTGCAATGTATCAACATTGTATTGCAGCTCTCGATTTAATTCTTGGTTGAATGCATCGTGCATCGATCGATTTGGCGCAATCATTCCTACTTCAATCATTAGCTTGTTTGCAATAGTCAAGCATTGATCCTCAATCAGAATCAATCCTTCATTGTAGATTTCATCGGTTATTTGGATGTCAGGATTATTCGTTTGAATACGCAAGCGATGCAAGATATCTTCACATATGGCGTCTTTGTATTTGTTCCATAACTGAATTGGTTGTGAAGGAAAACATGTGGTGATGATAATTGCGAACAGCGTTCGTATTTGGTACGCATTTGATGAAACAACTGAATCTGCAAGTGTTAAATCCCAATGAGAATCGTTCTCCATCAAACCCAATAGTTGACATGCTTCTCGATATGTTTGGCATTGGTGGCCATTCACAGTTTTCAAATGCGCAAATGATTTCGGTCCACGTACATTTACTAACAGCAGTCGCAAATAAAAACATTCATCGTTTCTAGGATGAACAGTGTACATACGACCTAGTGCATCAGTTGAAAACACCTGTGGCCAGTCTGGAACTGGGGTTCCTTGTTTGCGACGTTGGAATTTCTTTGTTGATTGATTCCAAGTGTAATACTTGGGCATTTCAACTATTATAGTCAACTATATAATAAACAACTATCCGTCAAACACTTTATCACGCACCGTTGCTATTGGTTTGAAGTACATGCTATGTATAATAGATGGCGCTGTATGTGAAAAACGATTTCCCCACTTTTCTGTTGAATTTTTCCTGAATTTTCCAGAATTTTCTTTGCTATAAACCTCACGGAGCCCAAGACCTTTCCAACGAATGCAAAACCGTGGAAATCGGATCGTGCGTTCTCGAGTTATAGCGTCAGGGAGGAAAACCGGACTTATTTTTATATAATAGATTATAATATGGGAATACGACACAAACTGTATTAACGTTATCAAGGTAACGATTGTTTTTTTTTTATGTTCTATTGTTTCGTATTTGATTACTTAGGTAGTTATGTAAAAAAACGTAAATCATACAAATTTATTAATATTTAATAATATTATTATTTTCCGCTAATATAATAACTATAACTTATCCACCAGCAACGTCATGAACGCAAATTCCGAAAAACCATTCGATGATTTTGGCTATCTGGAATTGTTATTTTTATACTACGACATCAGCAAAACCATCGTATTCTGGACGAATGTTTTCTTGATCTCTTCCACATTGATTAACGGTAAACTGTAGCTCAATTATGTAATGGCGATTGTAAATTCCACCAATTTATATAGGTAGTTGATTTACAACAGTATTACAAATAAAAATAAAAAATGTTATATCATACGTGTAGCGCAAAAGTAAATCAATTATAAATTATAATATACTTAAAAATGATTTTTTAAAATATTGAATAGAACCAAAGTTTTTAATTTTTAAGGTCTTTGCCTGTTACATCCTGCAGTATAATATAATAATATGTTAGTATACTTATGAATTATGATACATTATAATCTCAGAAGTGAGTGCGAGTCGCGAGAATCAAATCCAATCACGGTTTACCTACCACTACGCGGTCGCTAACCAAGCGATAAATCCTACACCACAGTATTTCCCTAATAATAACTAATAAGTATATTATCACGCTGTACCGGCCTTTGCCCCCCTCCCCCCATGTCAACATACATGAAAATCCCTAGCTTTTGATCGGAAATAATCAACGTGCAGCTTATCATCTATCATTATTATGTACTAATGTACTATATATATAAATGTAAACTTTTATTTTTGAAAATAATATCATAGGTGGTTACTGGTTTTATTGAACTATCAAACAAATCGGTCGTTTTTAGTCATTTAAGGAAACTATTTTTCAGGAAGTTTCGGTCAGTTGTGTTTCGCTGCGAGTATAAACGCCGAACTGGCGGTCCGACGAATCTGTTCTATGTTCCAGATGAAACCACTGGACATGAAGCACTTCCAGGAGGATACGATGCTAATGCGCCAACAGCGTCACCGCGAAAAGAATCACATCGACAAATTGGCGTGGCTGAAACGTAAAATGGTCGAAGAGGAGATACAAAACGAACGAGACGAATATTTCGATAACGAATGTTTATCTCGTCGCTTTTCCGATATTATAGATAGGTTGGTTGAAGCGTTAGATTTTGTACTGGGCACGAAATGCCGTCATCGTCAACCATACTGCTGCGAGCGCGGCGAAGAAGCGGACTCGATGCAGTTCGCCAAACCTACTACCAAAGGTCGGAGATCGTTCCGAAATCTAAACACGCCGATAGTCGGGTAAAAATTAAATAATATATATATTATAATTATTAATTATAGTATAATAGGCTATAAACACATAGAGTTTCATAAGGAAACACACGACATAAATACATAATATATGGTTGAAAGGAGTACATAAGTAGTTTAGGTATTTTTATGGGCAATAATAATAATTATGAGAATATTTTACTACTTATCAAACATTTTGGACACAGGCAGCAATATTTCCATAATAATATATCTATTTAACACTATTTTTAAAAATTTTTTTTTTACCACGCTTCTTCTGACCGAATCTCAAGTAAGCATTTTTTGTGTCCAACGCAACTAGTTGTTGTAGATGCGTTGGACACATCGACAGAGCAATTCATTTGCCAAAAATGCTTACTTGAGGTTCGGTTGGAAGAAGGGTGGTAAAAAAAAAATTTAAAAAAATAGTGTTAAATAGATATTATATTATGGAAATAATTGCTGCTTGTGTCCAAAATGTTTGATAGTAAAATATTCTCATAATTTTTATTATTGCCCATAAAAATACCTAAACTACTTATGTACTCCTTTCAACCATATATTATATCGTGTGTTTCCTTATGAAACTCTATGTATTTATAGCCTATTATACTATAATTATAATATATATATCATATAATTTTTACCTGACAGTTACTGTCGGCGTGTTTAGATTTCGGAACTTTCTCAGATCTTTAGTAGTAGGTTTTGCGAACGGCATCGAGTCGCAGCAGTATTGTTGACGATGCCGACCATTTCGTAATATGAAACGAAATATAATTTAATGTATAGTTACCATTTTTTTTACTGAGGATCTGTTAATGAACGGTCTCCTCTTCAAGTTAGTCATGTTTGTATATTTTTCTATGTTATCCTTATAACTTATTGTTTTTTTTATTGTTAACAGATTTTATATATTTAAATAAAAATAAAATAAACATTGTTACATAAATTCATACTATTTTAGTTTCATTAAATTCTATAATACAGCCATAGGTACGAACAAAATAAGACACCTAAGAAAAAGGGTCTTAAACAACTATGGTTTTTTTTTTTATTTATAATGTATTATAACTTATAAGACCCTCAATGTATGGGTACAATGCAACAACTCCAATATAGGTCCAGTGCCGAATAAATCACAGATGCAAACGGTGAATTGTCTACATTGAAATAATAAGACCCTTCTATATTAAGGAATACTAAATATGGATATCAATGTATCACATTATATATTTATATGATTACTATAGATAATGTTTGGAAATATTATGTTAAATATAGATTATTTATAGACAGCTAAAGACTTATTTAAAATTTGATATAGATATTGTAATTAAAAATATATTTATTTTTTAATAAAAATAATAAAATACCTACCTACCCGCTTTATGGCATTTTTCTTTTAATGTGCTTCAAAATCGTACTTCGCACCTGGTTTCCAGGAGTCCAAGATCCCGGTCTGCTTATGGTTCTATACATGAATACTTCTATTATCGTTCATTGGCGAATACTTAACGGCAATACATAACTTTTTACAATACATAACTTCTTACAATACATGGAGTTCCTTTGGAAACTTCAATGTATTATTGATAGATAGTTTGTCGTCACACCCGGCGTCCTATATGTGTAACGAACCGAATTGGGCGCGGAATATGTCTATATAAATCAGGTTAGGCCTTTTTTTTCAACAGCTAACCTTTACTTTCTTTTCTTGAGAAAAAAAGACCTTTTGTTTATTTTTCCTGACGTTTTGCGTTTGGCGTCAGAGTGGTGATGGACCCGCGCATTTGGCACGACCAACATAATATAAACGTGACATGACAACGATTTAAGTGCGGACTAGGACGGACTATGTATTTTAATACGCCGCTTAAATATACTACAATAGCGAGCGTGTTGTGGGGAAGCAAAACAAAAAAAAGCACCAAAGCTTTGTCGTCGCTGCGACTGAAGTGTCTGTTTTCATTGGCGAAATACCGCTATTATTATGGTGGAGATATTCATACATTATACATTACGACACTTCAGCAGCTGGCCGCCGGAAGAAAAATTGACGATAAATCTTTAAAATATACCAACAGACCTATAATGGCAGGAAGATTATTTTAAAACATTAACTTTCACTGTTAATTTGTCTGTTTTTGAAAAAAAAAATGTATTTAGTAATATTTAATATTTAATCAAATATGGTAGGTAAGTAATAAGTATAGGTACATAATATTTTAATTGATAGTTAATTTCAATAATAGAGACAATCCAATAGTAAAATAGTCAATAGGTACTTGATTATTAAACCTATTTATTAGACGTCATTATAGTGCATACATTTTTTTTAGCTTAAGCGACAGAGGCTATTAGCTATACATGATATTTTACTAGTTCTTGACAACAATTTGATTACAATAATTGATTGCTGTACTATATTACTTACAACTTTGTCTTTCTCTTTACAATTACATTTTATATAACTGTCGATATAAATGGTATTGTTAGGTCAAAAATTTTGAAAATTAAATTTTTTATCAGCATTCAAAGTTAAAATTATCACAAAAATTTACAAATGACTCTGTGCCTGGTTAAAAATTTATGAAATGTTCAATTTATAAACTAGGTAAGGATTGAAAATATAAAAATGTACTCTGCTGTACAGTAGGTTACAAGTGGGTCACTGTATAATGGATAGTATTAAATTTGAATTCAATGATGTAATATCATTGTATAAAAAAAACGAGCGGAGACGGTATGTCAGTCTAGGTATAAGACATATACTTATCTATAGTATTAAAAAAAATGACCTATAATAAATTCCAAATTAATCATATCACAATATCCATTAGGTACTTATAACGCGTTATACATCTACAACAAACCCTCATACTATCATAGATATATAATAGTGTACTTTAGAAATTTCAAGTACCTACGAATATTATACAATCACAACAAAATAACTAAAATAGTTATTCTAGATTTTTTAATTATGTAATTTCGTCCTAATTTGAACTTAAAATTACTATAAAAATAAACTGTCCTTCTGTATTTTTTTAGATTTTTTGGTAACAAAATAAACTACTTACGTTTAATCTTGTTTTAAATTTTCAATCCTTTGGTATAAAAGTCAAACGTTTTATAAATTTATTATTTAAATTTATTAATTAAACCAAAAACCATATTTGATTTTGTGAAAAATCGATTTTGCTTAAAAATTCCTGTTTTTCCTTCACTTTTCTTTTGTTTTTCTTGGCACTTTTGAAAATTACTGGGAATTTTAATTTTTTACCTCCCCAATGCACCAACGATATTCACTTTCCAATCGAACAAGATACTGAAGATGAAAATCTGTACACAGACACAAAAAAAAAAAACACACATCATTGTAAAATCAATACATTTATTGTTCCACTCAGAATAATCTAAAAAAGGTTTCTTATAAGTAATATAGGTTTATACTGTAATAGTAGTAGGTTCATGCTGTAATCAAAAACTTTAAAATATACAATCACAGTATTATTTATATAGTTGTTTTAAGTTAAAAATTTGGACGAAATTATAAATATTCAAACTAATTTTTTTCAGTTATTTTTTTATGCACAATAATATATATTGCCCAGTCCACGATAAATAAATAATCTTGTATAAGACGAAATATATATATATATAGTTAGACGAAGTATAAAATATAAATGTTTAATACAGACGTATATTATTACCAAACCTCTATCTTGTTTTTCTATCCGTTTTCTATTTTGTTTGTGGAAACGGAACAATAAAATCGTTTTTAAACGAGGTTTTTGAATCAATTAAATCGAATATTAAGACCACACGAACCGACGTTATTGTGCTTTTATAATATAATACTGAATAGCTAATAATAATAATAATAATAATAATAATAATAATAATAATAATTTGGCCTTTTGTGTTATGAGCGTACAAATGAATATGAAATACGTTTCAGGCATAATTAGTTCCACTTAATTTAAATATTATATATTTTTGGTTCGGAATGATAGAAATCCGACGTTTTTCACAATTGGCTACTATACGAAAGCTCACGATTTCTTTTAACTTAATAATAATCCATTTTAAATTTTTAGCCAGAATAAATAGTCGTAATTACAAGTTTGTTAATTTTAACACACATTATACATACTAATAAGTAGCCATTACTAGTTACTACTACAGTTGAACTGAAATTCGAAGCGTATAGCTTTCTTTTCAATAACCACACCTGGTATAAAGTGCAATATTATTAGACGATGAGTATATTAATATAAAATATAAAAAAGTTCCACGTAAAAATCATATTGCATATAGGTACGAGTCTGCAATGAAGTACCACATTTTATGTCTTTGTTGTCCTTGCTATCACATATCTATCACCTATTCACCTAACAATCGTGTGATAAGCGCGTATATCGAGTTTGAATCTCGGATTAGAAAAATGAGATTTGCAATTTGTTTTCGTAACATAACGTTTTTTTGTAACGTGAAGTTTTTCGAATTCGATTCTATGTGCCAAAGCAAAGACATAAAATGTCAAAAACCAAAATTTAATGTTTTCACATAGCTCTTTCGAGACTGTTTTATAATCCAATATAAAAAATATAATATGCATATAGTTTACTGAATATAAACAAATTACGGACAGCCAATTTATTATTACCTACCTATTCAACATGACGTATCGGATTCAATAATCACTATACCAGATATAATATACGTATCGTACGTTAATTGATAATCTTATAACAGTTATTGTGTAGGTATCAGAAATTTTAACGAAAACACAGCATCAATAAATGCCTATGTATAGTTACTAGTTACATTTTCACTCAGAATCTTAATAATTATAGTATATTAGTTGTATATGCTTGCAGTTGTAGGTATGCTAATGCCAGTATACCAGGTATATACTTAGTATACTAATACGAATCTATTCATAATACCATTAACTTTATTTTTTTTTCATTAATTCCAACGTCATCACTACAACATCATAAA